TGGAATGAATTCCAATAACCAACAATTACTATTCTTAAAAGAGTGCTCAATACAAAGTAGAGCAGATATAATTATTATTTATAAAAAAAATTATAACGTAAGTATGTTATAAAATCACTACAAAAATAGCCATTTTGTTTCAACACACTCGGTGTCTTATCAAGTGATGATGTTGAAGATAAAATAAATGGTTTTTCAATGGAGATAATGTTGAAGATAAAATAAATGTTTTTTTTTTATAACATACTTATGTTATAATTTTTTTATAAATAATAATTATATATATATATAAATATTGTAAAGTAAATAGAACATTCGCAATTATACAGGAGTAAATCTCGTGAAATATTGACACTGACTTTCTCCGTCGATATAGCTCCGTGCCAATGTCGAATTAGTGTCTTGTACACTTGATTCCTGGCCGCTACCGAGAAGGTTAATGGTTACTTTGTCTGGTTAACCATTGCTACTGATTCGTAAATTCAGGCTACACTGGATGCTCTGTACTTGAGGCCTTGTTTTAAACTAAGTTGAGCTCATTTTTTTTCAAGGTGACTCGGCGTGTGATAGTTGGAGTGGACATTATCATTGAGCAGTTAGATTTTCACTCTCTGCCCTTTACTTGCTGCTTTGTGCCAAATTAAACTAAGCTCCCTTCACAACAAATAGAAAAGCGATTCCTTGAAAAGAATGCTATACAAGTACTGACAGATTTCTGCATTCATTTGTAGAGTAAAAATTCGGGCTCATGCATGGTCTTTCCTCTGTGTGTTGTATCCTTTCAAGATATGGACGATCATGGCTCTTCACAACTTCCTATCTTTTGTAGCTCTTAGTAAGTTTCTTTATTTCTCAGGCCTTCCCACTCACTATTCTGCATGAATTTACACAAGGTTGTTAAGTATGTCACTATAAGTATATAATACTGCTTTAAATTAATTCTCCCTGCCTAAATACACGCTATATATATATATATATATATATATATATATATATATATATATATGTGTGTGTATATATATATGCATATATAGAAAATGTGTGTGTGTGTGTATATATATATATATATATATATATGCATATATAGAAAATGTGTGTGTGTGTGTATATATATATGCATATATAGAAAATGTGTGTGTGTGTGTATATATATATATGCATATATAGAAAATGTGTGTGTGTGTGTATATATATATGCATATATAGAAAATGTGTGTGTGTGTATATATATATGCATATATAGAAAATGTGTGTGTGTGTATATATATATGCATATATAGAAAATGTGTGTGTGTGTATATATATATATGCATATATAGAAATGTGTGTGTGTATATATATATAAAATGTGTGTATATATATATAAAATGTGTGTGTGTGTATATATATATAAAATGTGTGTGTGTGTATATGTATGTATAATGTGTGTGTGTGTATATATATATAAAATGTGTGTGTGTGTATATATATATAAAATGTGTGTGTGTGTATATATATATAAAAATGTGTGTGTGTATATATATATATATATAATTGGTCAAAATCTTAAGACCAGATAGAAAAGGGTTAAAAAAACATATAAAATACTATTACTTTAATCAAAATATATTTGCGAAACATTTACATTTAATTAGAAAATGTAGTTTATCAACAAACAAGTGAACATTTTATGCTTTTGATTAATTTCAACAAACATTAAAAAAAGGATTTTGAGGGTTGGTCATAAAGATAACACTATGTAAATAAAAATAGCAAATACGGAATAAATAAGTTACAACGACAATTCTCAGATTTGGCGAATTACTTCGAAAATTCGCTGTGGCATACTCACTAACTTCTGCATGAGGCTGATTAGGATGCTCGCCCAGGATGCATAAACTGGAGCCCGAAGAGCATCCACAGTTTCAAATTGAGATCCAGGTTTATAAACATCCTTTACTATCCATCCCCAAACATTCTCGATTGGGTTTCGATCTGGAGAGCCTTGTGGATTGCAGCAGTTTTCTCCACAGAGATGAGGGCCTTCATTAATTCGCTATGCCTTTCTTAACATGTCGATGTAAGTAGCAGCTGTTTGACGACCTTTTACCTCCTATAACTCAATAGATCCATTGTACGAAAATAAAGCCCAGACTGTAATTGATCTACCTCCACTGTGTCGTGTTGAGAACATTTGTTTGGGGATATCTTTTGCATGCCAGTAACGCTGAAAACCGTCTGGGCCATCAAGACTGAATTTTTTTACTCGTCTGAAAACAACACTTTCTTCCATTTATTCACATCCCAAGTTTGATAATCGGAAGCAAATTGTAAACGGGAGGTTTTATGGCGAAGAAGGTGAGGCTTCTGCGACCGTTTCAAGTTCTTAAACGCTTTCTTATTTAAATGCCGTCGAATTGTTGGAGAGCTGCTTTCAGAATCTGCGTTCGCTTTTATCTGATTTGATCTTAGGCTTGAATCTCTCTTAACTTCTCGCCTAATGCGTCTGCCTAGAGATGGTGAGATTTTATTAGGGGGCGATATTTTTTTTTTTTTTTTTTTTTTTTTTTTTTAGAAGCATACGCATCCGGATTTTTAATGAAGTTAGCAATGACAGTTCTGCTACGACCAATTTCATTTGCAATGTCTCCTCGCGAAATACCAGGACTCTGAAGTTCCATCCTGCCCTGTTCGAACTCTGTTAAAATTTGACCCCTAGCCATTTTAAAATCTGAAATTTAATACTAGAAACGAGCTACGTAGACGTCTACAAGCCTGAAGCTATGAGCACGAGGACTAGTTCTAAAATTTTTGTCCAGTAATTTGTTTTTTTTCACACGTGGTCTTTATGACCAACCAAAAAATCCTTTTTTCAATGTTTGTTTAAATTAATCAATTAAAAGCATAAAATATTCACTTTTTTGTTAATAAACTACATTTTCTAATTAAATGTAAATGTTTCGCAAATATATTTTGATTAAAGTAACAATATTTTATTTTTATTTATTTTTTTTTTTTTTTAACCCTTTTGTATCTGGTCTTAAGATTTTGACCAGGGATGTATATAAGAAAAGCTAAAATATGAAATAAGCTAATTTTAAAATATAAAATAAACTGGGGACTCAATGTGAAATTTGACAGAGCCTAAACATATTATTATTAATACAGTATCTACTTAGTTTCATGTAATAACACTGATCAGGCGTTTATAATATACATATTAGATGATACAGTGTTATAGTCTTGTTCGACCGTCGTATAAGTTAGTTATATACGCGTTAGAAGTGCAATAGTCGGGTTACTGGCGATGGTCTCTAGCGTAATGAACATTTATTCCCCTCGGTATTTACACAAAGTACACAAAATGACCTAGTGGTGAAACACATGTATGTATCAAGTACTTCTCAGAATTTAGCGATACCACGTTCTAATCTAATGTTTATATGCGCTTACACCCGGTGACTTGCTGTGATGTTTCACGTACGTACAAATATAGTTCTGTGCCCTCGGGATCGCTCTCATGTCATAAGGCAGCGTTCGCTCCGATCCGACGTAAAACATACTAACACACTAATCGGAGGCCGACGTGCCACTTCACACACACACACACACACACACACACATATATATATATATATATATATATATATATATATATATATATATATATATCCCATTTTTGACGGGTAGTATTTCGATATTTCTGTCATGTGATCAAGATCATATGTCGGACAAGCATTCAAACAAATGAAAAAAATAAAGGATATAGATAATAAATTTAAATATAAATAGATATTGTTACTGTTTTTGATAGTAAAACACTCTCAGTTTATACTGAAGATTATAGTATTATACAGTTAGACTATATATTAGGTTGGTGCAAAAATAATGACGTAATAATGTCGTTTTTGACGTATTTTAAGGTCAAAAACGACATTATTACGTCATTATTTTTGCACCAACCTAATAATAGCCGGCTTATGTCCATGTCGCATTGAAACACGGGTTCTTGGACGATCAACGACTTTAGACAACGCCGAGCCTATTCCGTACCTAGACGTATGACCACTTGGAAACACCAAATGTTGTAAGCGTGGATGCGTGGTTGAAGTAATGGATAACGGCCCAAAATTGGAAAGCGAAAAGCAGAGTTCCAATTCCGGTCGGGTTTGTTATATTCAGTTACATGCAAATATCCTTAGGGATGAATCCACCTTTTCTGCGTAAATCATTAACTTCAAAAAATCTTACAATTTAAAAATACTTTCTGGCTTTAAATAACCAGCAAAAAGTTGATAAGCCTTAAAAAAAACCAAAAAAAAAAAACCAGACCAACATGCAATAGACATACAAATCGAACAGACATCAATAAAAAAAAAAAAAAAAAAAAACGAAGTATAAACTAAGCATCGTGTATGTTTATCATAAAATGTGAGATGCCAACAGAATAAAAATCTATTTGTTTCTGAAATATCGAAAACCAATCTTTCATCTTCTGACCTGCTTCGAAACTGAAACAGTTATGTATATCTCAGTTCTGTAAATGGACCTTGTTCGATCCCAGATAAAAAAAAAAAAAAATTACGAATCCGAGTTTTGTCGGGAAGCCATCGCCTTTCTAGTAGGAGGACTGCTCTAGCAGAATCTTCCGTTTGTAGCGTAGTTGACATTCGCTTTCCCACTGAACCAAGCTTAGTTGAGACATCATCCAACGAGACATATTTGAATATATCGATTATATCCTTTCATATTTTGGACAGTGTTCGAATTCCAATCGAGATCGTTTCATTTACTTACGCGCAAAATACCCTTGAGAAAGGCATGTGTCTATCAGCTATATGCTAAATAGTAGGACTTGTATCTGGAAAAACTATTTTCTTTAAAAAATTGTTAATGCAATATTCACTCGAAAAAAAATATCTTAAAATCCAAATATATTTTTTCAACTTTAAATAACCCACAAATCGTCAATGAATCATAAAAGCCAATCACGTTTCTAATCGTTCAGGTATAAACTTCAGTCTTTTTTTTTTCCTTTCTCCTCTCTCTTTTTTTTTTAAGTGCTTTCTGAACTCTCTCTCCCTAACCAATACAGACCTCTATGTTCCCAGTTCAATACTGTAACTCTTGGGCTCTCATCTGGAATTACCAAGCATTGTTATAATCTCGTTCGTTTTGTAGTTGCTGGTACGCGGTGGTGGGAGCAGTCGGCAGTTTGATTCGTCTTCGTGTTTGCCAACATCCTGGGAGAACGGCCAAATGTCGGACATCGAAGCCAATGGGGAATATAAAAGAGAAAGGCGAAGCAACGCAAAAGAGCCAACACAACATGGGGTGTATGATTAATTACTTGTTTAATTAATTCTTTCGCCTTCAGTTTCACGGTTTTAACAAAACCTTTTGGCCGGCGATTGTCGTCGCTGGGAAATTAAAAGGAGCGACTATAAAACTCTTGCATTTACACCCTGTGTGTATGCCTATAATCAAAGACGCATATTGAAGTCATGTCCTCACGCATCTAGAAATGTCGTAAATGAAAATTCAGAGATAGATGAGGGGAACAAAGACATAGAGAAATATTCGCATTTGCACAACAAAAAAAAAACTCGCCTCCAGTCCCATTCCTATGTATACGAACAGCTGTCCAAATAGTCGAGAATCTAAAGGAACGGGGTTTTTTAAAGAGAGAAATAAAGAACCATATTTTCTTTGTCTATATGCCGCATCCCTTCAGGACACAGGCGATCATGGCTCTCCGCAGCTTTCTGTCTCATGTGGCTCTTAATAGTTTTTTCTTCCTTTGCTAAGGCCGCTGAATCACAATCCATTAACACAAGCTCTTCAGTTGGATAATTGCTCGCTGCTTTTCTTTATCTCTCTTGTCATCAGCATGCCCCGTGAGGATTAAGTTTCCCGAGCCCTCCTTCCTCATTATGTGTCCAAGGAATTTCAGCTGTCTTTTCCTGATTTTGAGTATGTGTTCGTTCTGTTGCCATTTTCTTTAAGACTCCCTTGTTACTTATTTGCTCTGTCTGTGGAATTTTCAATATCATTCTGTAGAACTGTTATGCCATAATACCTATTCTATTGTAATAGACTCTCCCACAGATAAGTAGCAGTGGCCAGTTGGGCTCAGTGGTGTTGAGCAGGTCAGTCGATGTCGGACATTGAAGTATCAACCATCACAACTAGGTTGCTGCGTCATTAACTCTTATTTCAAGTTCCTAACGTTTTGTACATCGGACCCTTTTTAGGACCGACTTATTGAAATACAAGCCTCCACTGTAAAAACTACTCTACAACAAGAACCACACTTTTTCAGCCAAAGAGTAATGAATCTGTTAGAATTCCTAACATTTTTCTGGGTGTGTATGCATGTATGTTTTGTTTTGTATATATATATATATATATATATATATATATATATATATATATATATATATATATATATATATAACTACCTGTCTGCGTCAAGTCATAGTTTCAAGATTAGTTCTATTGATGATAAAACGATTTCTTCTTAATGCTAGTGGGCTTATATTTGAATAACCAAAGCATAATTAAATTCGTTCCATATATTGTCATAAACTAAGATAAATAAAATATATAAGTAATAAATGTTCATTTTTTTTAAGTCTTTATCAATGAAAACAATTGCTATTGTCATTCATGCGCGTCAAGTTTCATAGTCAACGACACCGGTTATCAGCAATTAGTAGAGTAAACAATAAAGAAATACAATAAAAAGTAGAAACTATATCTGGGGATGAATATTGTTGGCTATATTGCTTATTCAGATCACACGATTTTTTCCCAAACATTAATAAGAGAAATTCTAGTCTTAAATCGCACGGTTACAAACAGTAATTGTTACTATTAAAGATAAATCCATGTAACAGCAGAAAGTGGGTACACAGTTTCCTTCTCCTGGGACGAACAAAAATTATTTTTTTTACGTTTCAATCTTCACTTGGGTTCATTAAATGTATAGAAAATTCTAGAACTGTACAAGAAACGGTTCGGTTGCATGTAACAAACTTTTTCCAATTTCCCACATAGACATAGACAAGAGGTTGAGCAAAAGTTCTCAGCTCGACCAACTACCCAAAATCTTAGAAAATGCTGTATATACTCGTGTATCATGCGAATTTTGAAGCTAATTTTAAGAGGGTCGCATCGTACGGGAGATATAAAATTAGCGTATGTGCTGCAGGCCCTGGCTCCGCCGTCGACCAAACTATATATCCATTTGCTGTAGTAAAATTAGCTTCAAAATTTGGCCTTCAAAAGTTGCATGATACGCGAGTATATACGGTAATCAAATATTTTTTTTTTTTAAAATATCTTCTTGGTCGGTCGGAGAACTTTTTAGCAGCCTGTGTATGCATAAATGAATAAAGTATAAAAATATATATATATATATAACACGCCGATTCTTCTATCGGAAGGTCCGTGTTCTTAGAGACAATCTAAAACTTGTATACCTAAATACACGCAGGTGATATAATCACGACGCAAACTTGCTAATGATTTAATTATTATTATCAGAGTTTTATGGATATGCATATATTAAACTATATGCACACACGATAGTAACTGTTTATGAATATATCTATACTGTATTTTTTTAAATGCCAGGTCTTTTAATGACGTAAACGGTCATGGCGCCCCATAGCTTCCTTTCCTTTATTATCTGGGAATTATGACATCTTGGTAAAGATAATTGAGCGATTTCCGGTTTCTTTGCCCATTATTTTGAATTCTGAGTTTTCCTTCACCCAAGAGTGACTGCCTTCACCCGAAGGCTAGAAAGCACAGTCTGTCCTATTATTTAACTCATTATTTTCTCCTCTATAGGAATAGATAGGTTCACCTATCGACCGGTTCACGGGCCTCTTTGGTCTTACGTGCTGTTTAGAATTAGGCTTCCAGTTCCCTCAAAATCTATTTTACCTCTATACTGATTTGATTTACTGCTTTTTTTCCTTTTTTCTCAATAGTAGTAGATAGGTTTGCCTGTTACGTGGTTCACACTCCTCCCTGATCTTGTGAACAGGAATCGTGATTTAGCTTTTGTTTCAGGTTTTTTTTCTAATGTCTTTCCATTCAGTTTTCTCCCAGTAGCCCCTTGCGTCTTAGTGGCATTGTTCCCTTGCTTGGGGGGAATTAAAAAAAAACGGGTCCTTACTGTGAAAGTGAACACAGCAGACTAGACTGGAAGTGGAACTCTTCTCGCCGAATCATCTTTCGTTACACACGAGCATATTTCCCATAAAATTGACAGGATTACTAATGTATGGCAGCTTCACTTTTGCCTCGGAATAGGTTCGTATCTGTGCACTCCGTCTAATTTCGTGTTTACAAGTTAATTTTCTCACAGAACGCTTATCTAATGGAGGTGTCACCTGCTGGTTTATCTCCATGTTGGGCGTTCGTAGGATTCACTTCTTTTTTTATGTGTTGACTTAAGATTGGCAGAAGTTACGGACCGAGAAAGTAATAAGGATTTCGTATATACGTGAGTATCCGTTAGTATATAATGTCTAAAACAGGCAGCCATGTTATTGATCTGAATACAGATGTTCGAACCTATCAGAGAATTTCCAAGTTAACCAAAATAATATCTAATAGGCATGCAAATTTTAAAAATAAAATCAATTACCTTCTGAACAGATATACAGGGTTATTCGAAAAGAATGAACCTATTTCATGACGCATTGTTTCAGTTCTCAAGCATCGTCATGGAATGAGTCAGTGACCATCTGGAAGAGGAGTTTTCTAAGTTTTGAATTTCTGACACAGGGACGCTGTAGTCGCGTCGTATCTCTGGCAACGTTCAGTTTTTTGTTTACCCACCGGAATGGTGCGTTCTCGAGTTCGCGAAAATAAATACGGTTCTCACGGTGCAGCGTGCTTTTCGAATGCAATTGGGCATTAATCCGCCCTCTCCTAAGAACATTCGACGGTGCTTCAAACAGTTTCAAGAAAGTGGGTGTCTGAAGAAGGACAGTGTGTACAACGGCCGAAACGTCGTGAATATGGCAATAAAGATGAGGACAACAGTCCGAACAATTTAAATGATGACCCAGCGAGTTTGGGCAAATGGTTAGTGGAACAATATTTAGGAGACATAACAAAAAGACAAGATATATTAGTAGTTACAAAAGATATGACATTGTGGAATGCCATGATCATCAAAATCCTTGAAGGGACATGTAAAATAAAGGAGGAGTAGTAAGCCTCGATTCTATTTCTTATTTTAATTCTGTATAACTGCCAATATCCAATTTGTCGTACAAAGAAACATTTACTTCGCTGTTTTCATTATCCTTATTTACTGATCTTAGTTTAGTCTGGCACAAGGTCGCAAATATTGACTACTCAATAAAGATAGAAAGCTGTTCATTTTGGACTGGTGAGTTAGAAAGTTTTCTCCGAACAGCAACAATAGTTGTCTTGTACCTGAAACATCAAAGTTTCAGCATTATAAATTTTACTTAACTTTGAGTTTCAAATCGACGGGTTGGGAAAATTTTACTTTCTCGGGAGAAAATCCCACCATATATACGTTTCTGCTTTGCAAGCATAATCAGATTTTTTTTCTGTTTTTGATATTTTTCAAGTGACCTTTGCATAACATTGGCCAAAAATTTATTTGAATCTTGTCCAGAAATTCGTGCTTTTGGAAGAAGCGAGCCAGACACGCATGTGCACATATCAACATACAGATCTTCTATGTTCCGTCTCCCTTCAGCGTGCGTGCGGTAATAGCTCTCCACAGTTTCCTGTCCTTTGTAGTTCTTAGGAGAAACAGCGAAAAGACAATATTTATTAAACCCCGTTCTGTCAATCATTTACACAAGCTCGTTAAGGTTATTCCCTGGTTTCCTCTTGCCTTCTACATGGCCTGTGAGTGTCTAACATTCCAAGCCCTCTTTCCTCGTTATGTGCCCTGAAAATTTCAACTCTCTCTCTCTCTCTCTCTGTCTGATGCTAAGTATTAATGTTCTTTTCGTTTCCATTTTTTACCAAACATCGCCATTGTTCATATGTCCAATACATGATTACATACATTGTTACAAATATGTATTTCCAGTGTGTTTTTGATCTTGTTTACACACTAA